ATACCCTGAACTTACATAAACATTGTAGAATGAAGTTAAAGAACTTGCATATAAAATCACACATGGGCTGAATATCTGTTTTTTCTACTGAGATCCTTCACTCATATGCTTACATCTAACCATGCAGTCTGGAAGTCAGCTGTTCCCTGCTCTGATTTCTTCAGATCTGGCAAACTTAATTGTTATCAGAGAGAAATGAAAGAAGAAGAGAGTTTGGTATCGATGCTGTCTCCTCTCTGCTTCAAAAATCATGCATTTGAACAGACCAGTAACTGTCAACCACTTAAACTTTAACTCTACTTTGGGACAGTTCATTGCAGAGTCTGGCAATCCACATCTATTTAAAGAAAATATGAAAAGGATTGCCATGTGACATCCTGTTGTGGTGCCACTTCCATGATTTTCCTATCTATTCAGTTTTCTTTTGTGAATCTGAAAGACAGTTTAACTCTGATTTTTCAGACATTCACAGAGCAAGCTCCTCCTTCCTGACTGCACTGGGAGCAGTGGGTCCTCACCTCTAAAACATAACCAGAAACCACAGTCTTTAACAGCTGTATTTCAAGACAGAGAGGGGTATCATTTTTGGTGATTTTGGGGGTTTTGATGTTATAAGCCTGTGGCTTTGATGCTGAAAGCTCTCGATGCAAAAATATAACGCTAAAAATACACCAGCTTCCAGCATTTACCTTCGTTCTGCTGTGTGGAGCTTTTCTCTGTGTCATATCTCTCCTTCAGCTGCTGCTGGCATTGCTTCATCATGGTAAAAGAGAGAATCAGGTACCCTCAGAACTAAAAAAGACTGGTCTTACTATTTTCTTAGTATGACTGATTCCCCATTCCCATTCTTTCCTCCCAGCTGTCAAGTGGGAAACCTATTATTCCTGTGATTTGACTGAAGAAAGGAGAGGCAAATGCTAGGGATAGGTCTGTTTAGGAATCATAAAATGTCAGTAGATGGGCTTTCTTGTTTGTGATAAAACTGACAATCTTGTGATTATTCATCTGACTCTTCATGCAAAGAAGTAAAGAGTTCAACATTTATGTCATGTAGTTGCATCTTTTTTATATTCAAGCCAAGAGAGACAATTTTTTCCCTCAACTAAAATTGGGAGCTTATTAAAAAGCCTTTGTATAGTCAAAAGGAACAAGAGATGATAATGATGGGCAGTTTCAGCTCGAGTGGTGGCAATGACAAAATCTTGATGTCAGTTTTGTGGAGTAATATTGCCATGTCACTTCTGGGAACAGAAATGAAGGAGGATGCCAGGGCTGTAGGACATGTAGGGAAATGTTGGCTGAAGGGGCATGTGAAAGGCAGAATGAGGGGCAGTGAGGTTCCCTACAGTTAGGGAACAAGAGAAAGAAATAGTACTTTGCAGATGTGAAATTGAGTAAACTGGAATGAACTTCAGTCCTGTTTGGTAGTTAAATAGGTGAGTTTGGGGCACACCAAGAGATAGATGCAGACTGGAGTAAGATGGTTGCTAGCAAATTGTAATTTTTAGTTTTGTTGTATTTGCAAGAGTTGGCTGTAAGGGGGTACAGTTGTAAAGAAAATAACTCTTACTACCAGATACAAGACAACTGCTAAACAAAGTTAGACACTGCTGTGATGTAACAACCTGAGGTTAAAAAAACAAAACAACAAAAAAAAATTTTTTTTCTGTGTGGCAGATGGTGACCACTGTCCTTTCAAGATTAAAGATGAAGTGAAAGACGTTATGGTGCCAAACACCAGCTTCTCAAAGCAGCCTGTTCAGAGGGAGTCAGGAGGGCTGGGGATGATGACAGTGGCAAAGCAGCCACGGGCTCATGAATGGAACGTCCCAGAGTGTCAGGAGAGACACAGGTCCCAGCAGGCCCAGAGGAACAGCCTGGAACAGTCAGACATGGAATTTTCAGAGATGACTGAAGTGAGCTACATTAAACAAACTGTGCAGTGATGTTCAGCTGCTGCTCAGAGGGTGCCAAAACCAGCAGAGCTGGCATGGTCACAGTGGGGCAGAAAGCAAACCAGGCTTTTGCATGGTAGTGCTGTTGGGGTACTCTGCTAATACACTGCAATGCTCAGCTGAAAATTAAGTTCTGTTTCCTGATGTATAAATTATCGTGCAAAAGCAGATCTTTGCACAACTGCAATTTTTGCATGCTTTCAGGTAATAGAGCAAATGCCTGTGCTGGCAGCTATAAGCACCAGGAATCAGGCCTTAATTTTGGGCAGAAAATATGCACTCAGTTTAAGCCACAGCAAGCACACAAATGAAGTTAATCTCCCAAGCAGTGTACAGATGTCTCAATTTCTTTATGCACTGGCATATTTCAATGACATAAAATATCCTGGCAGCAGGGTAAGTTTTAAAATAATTTTTCCAGCATATTGTGCCTACAGAAACAAAGGAACATATCCATGTCAGTGTCTATTGTATATGTGCCTAAACTCAGTATACTTGTGGTGAAATTCTAGATGAGTGAGGCCCCTCTTGCTTCATTGTCCTTTCTTGCAATTTATTATTTTTATTTATTTATTTATTTATTTATTTTACTACTAATCTAGGCATCAAAGATTGGGGGCGAAAACAGAAATGCACTCAGGTATCTGTTAAAATCCTTGCCTGTTATGGAAGACATCAAACATAACTCATGAATTATAGGTATTTTACAGCTTTAAAAGACCACAAGATTCATTATAAAGACCAAGAGATATATTAATTTTCATTTAGATATTAAGAATCAGTGTTGTGGAATAGGGTTTTCTTTAGGCTTCTTAGGCATGCCTCAAGCTGCCCACTCGCTCAGTTTGCATTTCTGGTTAGATTTGCTTCCAGACCTTTTCCCTTCCCCACTGTGTGTGAGGAATGGACAATAGGGTACAGCTAATTCCCTCCTAAAGGAGAAAGCATAGAGACAGCAGCAGCTGCAAACACCTCCCAGCAAAGCTGCAGAGCAAACAAAGCTGTCAGCAGAGTGGTCTGTGTCACTCTGGGCTTGGAAGAGAACGTGTGTGCCCAGAAATTCATGTCCTGTGTGGGGCCAAGGGACTGCCAGGTCACCCCTTGTTGTGCTCTGCCTTTATTCTGAAGAAGTGACCCAGTAAGTGGCACAGCACAATAGATGGTGACCCTTGCCTAACTGTATGGATACAGTTTTAATTTCATCTGAGAATCATTTTTACAGTTAAAAGCTACATCCAGAAAAGAATCACCCCGATCCCAACCAGATGGTGGCCTGATGGGATAAGTGGGAGATAGTCCAGCCTTCTGCACGGGCTTTCTAGTGCTATTCAGGGTAGAACTGCCACTGTGCTTGGAGAGGACTGAATTAGGGATGGCCTTACCCTTAAAAAACCACCCTTACAAAATGGTGTATTTTATTCAGAAAGGGCTGACTATGAAACAGAGGTAGAATAAAACCTAAGTAGGGCAGAAGCCACCTCCAGGGGAGTCTGTGTTTGCCACAGCCACACCCGCTGACATGGCAATGCACACCAGATTCAGGTCTTAGTGTTCACCTCCAAATGCCCATTTAATGTTGTTACATTTCTGCCACTTGCCCCAAAAGTCTGACTGTGCTTAAGAACAAACAACAACTGTGCAGTTCCATTGGATTTTAGTGTGTTGACAGCTCTGGATTGTAGAATCATAGAATACACTGAGTTGGAAGGGACCCACAAGGATCACTGACTCCGATTCTTGGATGGAGGGATCATTTGATAAAACATTTTCCAATAGTGATTTTAGTTACAATAAGTTTGGAAATTTTGTTGTTGTTGTTGTTCACTTATTTACTACAATTAGAGCGTACAGCTCAGGACAATAACATAGAAACACCCACCTGGAGAGAATTTTGAGTAAAATGAGTAACACTGTTGGTTTTTTTCTGCTAAGCTTTCAATGGGGCCTATTAAAACCTCTAATTAAATGACAGTCTGTGGCTCACTTCCAGTGCTTTTTTCATGATTCAGATGGATTTTAAACTAAGGAAATGCTTATATCATGATAATGACCCTACTATATGATACATACATGAATCTCCTATTATCTCTTACTCATGATAAGTTATGGTCACAGAACTATTCAATGCTGCCTTTAGTTTCCTTCCTAATCTGAAGCCTCACTGTATTTCACAGTGCTTGGAAAGGGCCAGGATTGCCACCTCTTTGCCATTTTTTAGGTTGTTTGGTGTTAGTGTTTTAGTTTCTGTTCATTTTCTCAGTTGCTACCATGAATGATGGATCACAAAGTTGTGGTGAGGGAAATGTTCAAGTTAATACTCCTGAAACAGACTGGAACAGCTGCAGCAAACAGAACAAACTACTGTTGTGCTCAATATTAACAAAAAATGCAAGTAGCTTGTTTTGAAAGAAACCAAATGTGGTGATATTTACAGAGGTGAGGAGTGCCTTACTCACCCTGTAGTTTTAACAGGAGTGGCTATGAAGAGGCTTGCAGTGTATTTAATTTCTGTGTGTCTTATGCAAGAGTCTTATCCAGTTCTGGGTTTTTTCCCTTACACAATGGAAAAGGCAAAAAGCAAGCTGGTGGCCTCTGCAGAAAAACCCGTGAAATGAAGCAGAACTCTTTTCTGAATGGGCTCCTGTCAGAGCTCCATCTCTGAGTGTGACCACAGAAGTCACTGTGGTGTCTGGGCCGTTCTTGGACAATTTCCTCACTCTTGCTGCACTTGAAAGAACTCACTGAGTGTCCCATCACTCAGGTTTTGACACTGTAAGCCTGGAAAGGGAGAGGTCAGAAAATGTGGTCAGGTGAAAGGAACTGTACTCTTTGTGCTGAAGTCACTGTTGAGGCAGGCTCTTACTTTAGATGCTGAGAACAAAAATTTAAAAGAAATTACCACATTTAATTTTTCTTGTTAATATCCATTAACTAACATCTTTCAGTTGCTTTTCTCCTGCTGCAAAAGCAGAAATGGGGTCATTCTTTTTCCCAAGTTTGTGAATGAATGTTGAACCACTGTGCAATGGAAAGAACTAGACATACTTGAAAAAAAATATTTATTTTTACAAGATCATTTTATGTAAAACAATAGAGTACAAAGGAAATATGTTCACAGATTTTTGTGTTTTAAATTCTTACTCTCGGAAAGGACCAATTAAAATGTCTTCTAGAAGTATAGTGCTCCACTGATCAGGAAAGAAGAGCTACAATTGACATATCACTGTGCAAAAGGAGCAGTACAGGGGTATAAAAGACACTTTCAGAAAACAGGGCTGACATTTCTGGTAAAATTTAACCTAAACATCACAGAGAGAAAATGCTGATCTTTGTTTTTCCTTCAGTCCCATCCCTTCACCAGGATGATGGTAGGTCACTTTCCACAGATTATTTATGCTTCTAATTAATCTCCCAAGTCCCATCCCAGCTCCTGCTAATTTTATGTGAGGCATTTTTTAATATGACAAAGAAGTTACAAACAAAATTTTTAAGTATACAATACAGTTTAATCAAATTTCAGAATCTCCAAATTACTGCAGTGCATAAATTGTTCAAATCAAGAGCCCTTGGTATCTGCAAACTGGAGTGGTTGTATTATCAAAGACTAAGGACAAACCCCAAATGTCTTGAATCAAAGGATCACCTAAAGCCAGAGTAACAAGCGTGTGTGTAGTTTGTTTTGTGTGCATGTGGTCTCAGTTACAGTGAGCCTCTGGAAATACAGAAAGGTAAATATTTCTGTCAAATGATTGTTTTAGCAGTCACACAATCCTTCCTTTGATGTTCCGGGTCAGTGAAATCCCAGTACTATCGGGGTTTAGAAGCAGATCTATTAAAAGGGTTTCTCTGTGATCTTTCCTGCAATGGAAACAGCATTTAAAGTTATTACTCTGCCATGGTAAAGGAATATTTGTGCATTATTGATTGCCCCAGCTTTCCAAAAGGAGTTGTTTTCCAGGTTACCAGCAGAGCGTAGCTGTGGTTGCAGAGTTAAGAACTGCTGTTCTCTGCAGTGTCCTTGAGCTACCACAGGGGCTGGGAAGAAAGGGAGGGTTCATGATGGAAGCACATTCTCTTGTGTATTAGCAGGTTACTCTGAACATGATGTTGGAGGCAAGTTCCCAGAGCAATACTGTGTGATGTGCTACATAACCACACACAGTTCTCTAAACAGTACTGAGGCAGCTTTTCCACCTCAGGCCATTCAGTGTTTAACATCAGGACATCACAATGTACACTGGGGCATTTTCTGAGAGAAAACGGCACCAACATTTCTCAACGGCTCCTAGAAAAGGTACAGCTTTTTTTGCTCTAGGGCTCGACTCCTGTTCCTGCTGAACTGAGCCAGTGTGTAAAATGAGAACTGATATCAGCTCAGTAGGCACCGGAGGACGGGTCCATCCACAGCCTGGAACAACAGCAGCACCGTCAGTGGTGTCCAACTGGAGCTGCCACCATTTCCTGCGAATGACACACAGACTAAACTACAACTGCAGAGAGAGCAGGACAGCATCCATTAAAGAGAAGACTATAAAACAAAGTTTTATTGACAATTTCAGCTTAAAGTCACAGACAGTATTTCCTCTGACCTTTAGGGAAGATGGAAACCAAATTACTGTAGGCAACACCTTACGCTTGCAGACAGACTGAGAACTTCAGGAGCGCTGTTTATTCTCAGCTAAAAGTCTTTGGTCCTCCCTAAGTCACCTCTGCCTCTTATCCTCCATATATTGAACCTCACACACATGCATTCACTCCAAATCTACCCATCCAGCAGCAAGGTATCTCAGCCAGCAAACGCTCTCTGCCCTGCACAGAGTCTCCTCTCCTTTCTCCTCAGGTGCAGAACTTAGCCACTGTGAACAAAGAGGGAAACAATCACTGTTCACCAATCAGCTAAGCTCTGCACCTCACCAGAGAGGTCTCCGACTCGGCAGAGATCAGTTTCGGAGGAGAGTCTTCTGTGATGCTCTGCTGCTTTCCTCTTTTTTGGTTTGGTTTTTTTTTTTTTGTTTGGTTTTGTTTCCTGGCTGGAGAGGGTTCCACGCTGTGCACAGCCCAGACAGTTATGGTGAGGTTCATGCTAGCAGCTGCGGTCATGGCTCTGTGGTAATCCCTGGCAATGTGATTTTAATCTTAAATCACAAATCATCATGCCAGGAACCCAAACAGCCATAACATTAAAAGGAAATGGAACAGTCACAGAGAGTATTGGACTCAGCATCTTTAGACTTTATGTCACAGCTCATCACACAATTCTAGTCTGTCTGGAAAGTCCAAGGGGTGATTCTAAACTATTGCTCACACACACACACCAGGTCATCTTCCTGTGCTAGGTACTTACCATCAGAAGCTTGTAGAAATTTTGATTTTATTATTGAAGGAACTATAAGAAGTCAGTTCCTACTACAGTAGTACCAGAACAAACTGCATCTCCATGTTTCTGGCCTTCAGAAGGTGGCCTTCACTAGAAGACATCTCACAGATTAAGAATTGTTGAACATAACTCAAATTCCTGTGAGTCCTTGGGAACTGGGAGTACACAAGAGTCTCTGAGCTGTACCTGTTTTAAAAGGTGGCTCCCCTACTCCACAACTGATATCCTGGCACTCTACAGTCTGATCCACCTTTCCCAAAAAAGTTTTCTTGGCAGGCACAGTTCCTGTCTATACAGAAGAATAACATGGCTTTTCATAAACAAAGTTGCACTTGCTTTCACAGAACCTGTCATTTGCTGTATTTCATATAAATATAGTAAACCTCAAGAAATCAAGTGGAAATCACTGTCAAATACTGCTTGAACAGGAGAAAATTGAGATTTCTGCTTGGTACCAATTAGATGATGATGATTTTGCTAAATTAGATGCCTGAATTTTGATACAACAAATTAACCATAAAGTTACATGAACAACCAAGGCAATCAGTCTGTTGGGTGAGTGAGTTGTACCACGAATCAAAGATCTGAGGTGTGCTGTGCTGTAAGAAACCTTCACACCACTCTTAATTGTTTGTATGTTGAACGTGCACTGTAAGGTTGCCTCTGACTCCTCAAACAGACTGAGAAGTGGGAAGCACCTTTGCAAATTACCAGTTTATAGTCTACAGCAATTATTCCATGAATACTTTTTGCAATTCTGCTTCTTCTCTGGTGATTTCCCCCCACCAATTTGGTAAACAAGCCAGCTTTTTCATGTTAAGGCTACTCTTCTTACCTCATAATCAATCTTCAAAAGCCTCACTACCCTTAACACAAAAACATTTGAATTGTCAGCTTGCTTCCAAATCATTCAGATTTGCTTTCAAGTTCAAAGCTTCATATTTCCACTGTGGGATAAGACTCTTTTCAAAGACTGTGCTGCCTACCAAGTAAACAGGCAGCTCCATTAAACAGAAATGCTCCTTGCACAACTGCAATGTCTGTAAGCACTGTTAATACAGAATGGGAAACAACTGCAGGCAGAGCTTGGCCTTGCTTGGCCCTTTGGACTTATAGTTGCCTCCTGTATAGTCCATTACAATATTTACAACAAGGCCTGTTCTCCAGCTAGTGCCTACATGTGTGTCACTCACTGCTCCTGCAGCTGGGCTTAAAAAAAAGAAAAAAACCCAACAAGATATTTAACAAGAGTTACTTCTCAACCTGAGCAGCCCCAGGCAGCACAGTATGCCAAAGTTTACCGCGTTTAGTGAGCTCTGCATGTTCTTTCTTTATGAAGCAAAATCAGGGTGTTTAGATTAAAATGAAAAATCACCTCTTCAGAACAACATCTCTGTCACCACTTTGGCTGAGGACGCATCCATATGTTCCTGAGCTGAGGCAAAGCATTTACGTGCAAGTTCTTGTTGTTTTGCATCTTCATTCACCATTAATTCACCATAGAGATACACCCCCATAGCCTGAAAGAGGAACATAACACACAGGCATCCTACTACCAGTAACAACTAGTTAGTCATTCCATTGACCTCCCAGTACTCATTTAAACTGAAAATGAAACAAAACAAACAATCCAAAACACAGAAAATATCACATACTCTATTACACCCACCCTCCCCACAAAAAGAAGTAGTTTTCCCTGGATCTTTTTAGCCTAAGCATGGTTGTCTATATGTTGTGTTAAGTGTGTAAAAACAGATTATTAATATAAAAGGTCTACATTACTTCAAAAAAAACCCAACTCTTACTCCACTTTCCTTGCCACTCTTCAAATTGAATACTCTTTTCTTTTATCGATGACCTGATTTGTTTCCAAATGTCTCTTAAGAAAACAGCTTGTCTTTCCTTCAACAGGATACACATTTTCTTTCCAACTGGGATGTTTAGACACTCATCCATGAACAGAGACTGAGGCAGCCCACTCTGAAATGCCCATTTAGCAATGGCCTGTGTTTCACGCTCCCCTTTACACCTGAACATGCACAAATCCTGGGTTGGTAAGAAGGCTCTCTATAACTACTTGTTCTGGACACAGCAGCTATAAAAATTGTAGTGGGGCACCTGAGCATGAGAGCTGGGCCCCTTTGACACTGCCAGGAAAGCACTGGCTACTTAACAGGAAATATACTGGGGATTGCCTTTTTTTTCTGATGACACAGGTTTTTTCAGCTAATTACAGGAATTCAGCAAGTCTTAAGCTGCACTTACCAAAATAGGATTACACATGCAACAAAATATTAGCATCTTAGCATGGTGACTTTTACAGTTATTGTTTGGACTTGCAGGATAGGAAAAATTTGGATAGCATGGAGAAAACACATTTTTTAACATAATTTAACACAATTTCTAGCATTGGCTGCTAAGCCTTAAAAAAAACCAGCTTCAACAAGAAGGGAAATTTAAAGCTTAACAAAGACTGAAATTAAAGGAAAAAGTCTCAGAGTGGCAGAAAGCTGCCAGACTCCTTGGCAATCCCCTGAGGTCTCTGACAGCAGAGAACCAAGGACTCACATTTCCAAGGTCTGCAGTTGCACCAGGTCTGGCAGCCACAGCCCAGGCCTTGCAGAGGCTCCACTCGCTTCCACTGAGGGTTTAAAAATGCTGGAACTTCCTTCCAAATAGGAATTACCTTCTCTACCTAGTGCTAATAATTTTCCCCCAGGCCTAAATATTAACATGCCGTAAACAAACTGGTGTTTTGTAGACCCAAAAAGGGTTTAAATAGTCACATCTGCATTTTTGCCCAGACGTTTCAAAAAGTTGTCTTTCATGACCAGTAAGGTCCTGCAACTGCTCTGATATGAGTGGTAATCACTCTAGAAACTGGTTGTGCCATAAACTCTATGCACTGTTGAAGTAAATAAAATGAAGATTACATTTAAAAAGTTGCAAAAATTATTTCCCTGCACTGTAGGAAATGTCTTTATTTGGCAAAATATCTATTTCAAACATAATGCAGTTCTGTAACGTTTTATCAACTCAAGGATTTCCTGGCCCCTCATCCTCCAGGTTCTGCTGGTGGTTATCAATCCTTTCATAGAATAAAAATATGCACAATATTTATAACTCCTTGTGAAAAAATGTTTCTTTATGTCTTTTTTTTTCTATTAATAAAGAGCTTGCCAAGAACTCTGGGGCCTTTTATTGAGTGAGATATAAATAGGTGGTATACTTCAGAACTAGAAGAAAGAGCAGGCCAGACTGCAATAATTCAATTGTGCTGCATTGCCTGAAAGCACAAAATCCTCATTAGCTGCAAATGGCTTCATTCATTGTCAGCATAAAAGGTAAAGACATTAATATCTTGCCTAGACTTTGACATATCTTGCACCATTCTGTATTTTTTTACATACATTTTAAATAAATAACATTCATCCTAGGCAGAGAATGTCTCAATTTTATAGAGTTCACAGAGAATAAAAATAAATATAATTGAAATAGAAAGAACAAGGCAGGGGTACAATTAGAATTTTAAGTTCACAATGGCCTAAATAAAAGGCTATTGCAAGGACATCATGTATGGCCAGCCTTTTAAGGCCTTCAGAATCTTCTGGCAGCATTCCTAGTCAGACCTGCCTTTACCACCCTGCAAAAGGAAACAGTGCTGGGAAGTATCTTCCTAGGATCATTGCTACCTCTAGGTTGCATAAAAGGGAAGAAGAGGATGTATTATATCCTATTTTACCACTGGATAGAAGATTAGGATGCTCGGGGGGGGTTGCAGACGCCTACCCTGGGTGGCTTCCTTAAACTACAATGTTTAACTGGCAGAAGAGGCAAAAACTGAATACATAGACAAGTTTTTGACAAACTTCAGCAAGAAAATATATTAAAATTTTTTTTTTGTTTCAGATTAAGGGTGTCAAAGAGTTGATTGTTTTCAAAATGCTAATTTAAACGTAACTTACCTGATCTTCTCTGAGAAATCTCTCCACATCTCCATACCCAGGCATATACTTGTGTTTGATGACAAGCTCACACCACCGATGACGAACCTGTGGGAACACAAGTGATAAATATAATTCTGTACCAATATCACACCTGTGGCAAAAGGGTAAGAGTTAGATATAAACCCATGAAACAGGGAGCTTTCAGCTAAACTAAACAGTTTTGCCACCATATCATTGCTAGTAACAGGTTTTAAGCACCTTGTAAAGCATGTAATATCCATCTGTATTTGAGAAGCCATTGTGCTGTTACACCATCAACATACACATTGACAAAAACAGTCACTGACATTCTGAAATAAAATTTTCAGGCAAATCACAACTGAAAAAATGTTTTTATTTAAGTAGTATGAACATGAATTCCATATGCGTCTTTATGTTGTTGCCTTTACATTTCTGACTTTGTTCTTAGCTACTCTTGTAGTGTCATCTGACTCTCCAGCAAGGCTTGCCCAGTTGTGGGCAGTGACCAGACTAACATTTGATATTCCATTAGTGGTTCAGCACTGACACAAAAGGAAAACAGGCAGGTGGAATAACTCCCAATCCTTCTGTTACAGCCTTTGCTCTTACAATCTTTCAAAAGTCAGGGCACCTAATAACAATCACCTTTCATGATAAGAATAAAACATTAGCAGTTCTAATATTTTTTCAAAACTGAGTCCAAATTGTGCTTATATCAAGTAACTGAGCATGAACCTTTTTCTGAATGCCAGATTTACTGATAACATCAAGAATGGGAGCCAGAAAGGGAAGGGGGGAAGGCACACTATAGTATTCTTGTGCTTTTGGATATAAGGTATTTGAAAATAATTTCCTTTTCATCCTAGTTCTTAGCAACTTTACATCTCAGGGAAAAATTTCACAGATTTATGTAATTAGATGTTAATTCTAGTAGCATAATTAATAAATTATAAATGCTCACGGGTCGTGGAAGAGTCCTTTTTGTGTACTTGATATGCCTTTCCACCAACTCCTTACACACAATAGTTTGAATGAAATAAATTCACTCACGAATGAAATAAAAAGCTGCAGGGTTTTGGGGCCAAGTGGATTTTGCACTCACTGCATGTAAGATCCCAAATAGTTACAGTGCAGTGCATGGTAAGGAATAATTAAAGCTTTTTGCTGACAAAATAGCAGCTGTTAAGATTCCTGCCAGTGGAACCGAAGCTCAATTTACAAAAGAAATAGCTTTCCAAGGTTCAGCTCACTTTGCAGTAGATGCCCATATTCATAATGTAGACTTTCAAAGCCCTACTCAGCTGCTGCTTCTCCCTGGAGACACTAAATGTTTCAGCAGTAAAACTCTTCCCAGGCAATCCAGTTTTGTCACAGGGCGTTTCTCACAGCACCAAGTAGCTCCATGCCTGGACAAAACTATCCAGGCTCAAAACTTAACATACACCTCTCCCATCTGTAGAGTGAGTTAACCAAACAGAATATAAACACATTTAAAAGATTGTAGATATATTTTATTTTGGACATTTTACCATATATTAAAAAAAACCCAAACAAACAAAAAAAAACCAAACAGGATTCCTTATGTATTCTCAAAGAGATGTGGAGAACTGCAGGGAGAAGAAAGAGACTGTGGTCCCCTCCTGTGATCACTGCTCTTCTACTTCTCATGGTCCAGCAGTTACAGCACTTACCCAGGAGGTGAGAATCAAGTCCAGCTTTTGTAGCTGCTCAAGATCTCAAACTGTGCCTTTAGTGGGGATATTTCAACAGCAGATTATAATGTATTCTGGGATGGGGCTCTCTTCATGCCTCCTGGTGGAGCTGTTTTTTCCCCTGAAGTTATTAAAACATCTATTGCTCCTAAAGGAGGAGTCACAAGACTTTAGAGCCTGTATTTCTGAGTACTCTTGATAAGAAGTAGGGACCTGGTTCACAAGCCAGTTTGCCCCCAAAACATATTTTGTGGTACAACCCTTGTAGCTGCATGGACAGCAGAACAGAAGTTCTCTCTGTGAAGCCACTCACATGGTCTTACTTCCTCACATACCAATGTCATGTGGGACTGACTGATATTTGCACCGAGGCCTGATCATCAGAATCCCAAGGACTTTGGAAAACATGGAATTAAGATGTGCCTGTTCCCTTAACTGTTCTGTCTTTGGCAACCAACCTCCTTTCAAACAGTTAAAAAGAAAACTATTTATTTGCTGAGTGAGGTCTGTGACAGAACACGCTTTCCTTTCTCTCCTTTGCCTTTCTTCCTTTCTTTCCCAGGGTGAGCACAAATCCCGGCACGTTCCCAGATCTGAAATGCTGGCACTCTGCCAGCTGGGCCAGAAGCAGCATGTCTGTTATCCTCAGATTACACGTTTGTCTCCTGTCTCCCCAAGCCCCAGATGCTCCCGTGGCAGAGCAAACTGGGGAGAATCAAACCGTGAACTGGGCTCAGTCAGCCTGGGGGCTCCCCCACGGATCGTGTGGGACCTCAGGGAGGAGAGCACAGGCATCAGGGCTGGTTGGAGCCCAGGAGGGGCAGGGGGTACCCTGGACAATGTGGACTGCGCTCACACCTTGGTTGTCTCCTGTCCCTGCCCATGACAGCCACGGTTCCCACACCCCAGCTACAACAAAGGCATTGATTCCCCAGATACTCCAGTGCACTATAAAGAAGCAATTTTTCTGGGATACTCCACGCCCCAGGCTGATTCCATGCACATAAGACTTTTAGTCACAAAACAGTAGTGTGGAAAAAAATAATTCAATTCCCAGAGTCTCGTCCAATGCTCAGAGCGGGAAAAGTGAACCAGGCCCCACATCCTCCCAGCCCCATGAATGAGTCATGTGAGCAGGCACTGCTGACAAAACAGTCTCAAAAGGAAATTTTGAAAACTGAGGAGCTTGTGGTAGGACTGAGCTAACCATACCGCATCCTGTGTGTACTCTTCTCGGCTTTTCTTTTCCTCCCAGGAGCAAATACTCAGTGGCAAAAATAAGAATGCGTTAGTCCTCTCCCAGTTTTCTCTCTGCACGTTTCTCTGAGCTGTTCTGCATGGTTCAGAGATGCACACCATATGTCACTTTGGCTGCTTACACCATGAACAACAAACCAAACCTGAAAAGTAATTTACAGCAATCCATCCTGTTATTGCTGGCAGAAAGCACACAGGACTTTTCTGGATCTGAAGCAACACCTTCAACTGTCCAACCACCCACACACACTGTTACCGGTCTGGCAGCTGCAAGGACCCACATGCCAAAGTTGGAAACACAATTTATACCCTTAGCCTGCAGGAGCTGTCCTTCCAAGCCCGTGCCTGACCTTCCCCAGGATGGGGAGCAGTGGGCACAGGGGTGATGGGGGCCTGCTGACACCTCAGGCTCCTTCTGGATGGATCGTCATTACCTGGAAATAGTTTTTTTTTCCTCCTTCCCTGCTTCTGGAGGTGGTGCAGACATTGCCACTGCCAGCTTTGTAAGCCAAATAATGTTTGTTACTGTGATTTCTGCAAGACACTACTCCTATTAGTAGTGCATTTCTGAGGCACAGTCAGTGGTGGGAAGACACTGAGACAGTGACTGTCTCAAGAACAACATTTGATTTTCATAAACATCAACCACACTGAGATGTAAATATTGGCTAGCACCTCGACAGAACCTTTTGGAAAGGATGCTGTCAGACAGCAGAGTTCTAAATTTAGGAGCAGCATCTTATACAAATAACTCAGGGGCTTCACAGTATCTTTTAATTTCATTTTAATACAAATATTATTTGTAACTCAAGCATTACCTGTATTTTGACAGTGCTATGGAAGATAACAGGAAACCAAAATTATGTTTAGTATGTTTTCAGACAATACAAGCTGCTGCACGAGATTAGTTAAGGGAAATAAATACTTACATAAAATATACTAATAATCCATCTCTAAGGACAGTCCTCTTGTTTCAGCAACCTGGGCCAAGACCTTTGGGAAATGGTGCTTGAAGCTGACGGACTAAACCCATCTAAGGCATCACATGGATGGCCTGACTTTCGAAAGAAAAGCTCCCAGTGACATACATACCAGGGAAACAACATTTTTGAGCTATTTTCAACACATCTTAAATGAAAGAGACACTAATTTTTTCTGAGCCAGGTGATAAATTCCTTTACCTAATCCATATTATTCTCCCCTGTGCCACACAATCATAGAATGGCTTGTGTTGAAAGGGATCTTAAAGATCATCCAGTCCCATCCCCTGCCATGGGCAGGGACATCTTCCACTAGACCCGGTTGCTCCAAGCCCCATCCAACCTGGTCTTGGACATTTTCGGGGATGGGGCACCCATAATTTCTCTGGTCAACCTGTTGCACTGCCTCACCACCATCACATTAAAGATTTTTTTTCCAAAAATATCTAATCTAAAACATCTGCTCTCTCTGAGTTTAAAGCCATTCCCCCTTGTCCACTCCCTCCAGGCCCCTGTGAAAAGTCTTTCTCCATATTTCCTGTAGGCTCCCTTCAGGTACTGAAAGGCTGCAACTGGGTCACTTTAAAGCCTTCTCTTTTCCAGACTGAACAATCCCAGTTCTCTCAGCCTTTCCTCATAGGAGAGGTGCTCCATCCCTCTGATCACCTTGCTGGCCCTCCTCTGGACTCTCTCCAGCAGCCCCATGTCCTCCCTGTGCTGTTCCCCAGGGCTGGAGCAGCTCTGCAGGGGGGTTTCACCTGAGGGGGCAGAGGGGTAGAATCCCCCCCTTGACAATCAGACAAGCCTAAAAAACATCCTCATAGAAAGCTTCACATGTTACATTGCAATGATCAGGCTTGCTCATGTTCTCAGTCATAAAACAAAAAATAAATATTTTACTTCTGAGGTCTACCAGTAAGATTTAGAAAAGTAATTTAAACCATGCCTTTGTTAAGAGGAGAAAGGAAGCTAGACTTTACTAAGCCTTTTGGTCTGCAAACAGGAGACTGGCTTCAGGGAAAATGAGTACATTTTGCTAATAGCTGGATCCAATTTAAAAGGCGCCATGAGACAACAAATCTAAATCACTGAACAAAAGCAACATACTTAGAGACCTTAGAAAATGGGGTACTTT